GGACTTGCATAACACGTTTGACATCATTGTGCTCCTCCGTGGACAAACGCCTGCTACACTCCTAACTTGTGTCCGTATTAACAGTATACACACAGCCCTGGACACACTTCACACGCACATGCTCATCCTCCTCCATATCCGTATTGGAATGGTGCAGCAAGTATGCGACGTGCGCATGCGTACAATGCGCCTCTACGACACGTTGTGTGCATGTGCAAAGTGCACAGCTTGATCATAGAAGTGTCGTCTTGGAAGTATTTACGTGTCTGTATACGCAGTGCGGACACACGAGTGCTGCATGTGCAGAGAAGTATGAACCACGCTTAACACATCCCACCTTTGCAATAGTAAAAGTCTGCTGCTATCAGTTTGCACTATCTATATCGCTTTTTCACCTTGCTTTTTTCTGCTTTTCACTGTCTGCAAGCTGGAGCTGTATGCACAAGAATTTCCCTCTGGGATCAATAAAGTTCACCTAATCTAATCATATCTAAACACAAGGTTCCTTACTTACCTCACAATTATTTCCCTCTCAGAGTTATAATAAGAGCAGGAGTTTGATTTTCCAAGACTTAGGTAATCAGTCCTCTTCGAACTACACTTAATATATTTTTGGACACACACGTTTATGCTACCAGTTGATAAAGGGGATTATTAATGTTCTGCAGACTAATGCAAGACTTTCCCCTTAACTGGAAAAGCAAATACAACGTATAATTAAAAATTTGTATAAATTATCATCCAATGACATTAACGGCAAGTAATCAGCAAGGAAACATCAAGCTGTCAAAGTCAGAACCCTGCTGGGAGAGATTCAATCATCGGGTATAAAAACATAGACTCTGATTTGCCTCATCAACAACTATTGCTAAGTGCACTGTGCCCAGTACATCAATTATTATTAATAGCATAATAGTACAAGTTATAATGAAACAGCTTGCATTGATAATGATTTTTAAAACAAAAATAATAATAATATGCCATTTTAATAGGTGCGTGACTTAAGCATAATATTTCTGGAAAGAATTTATCGCTAATATATAATGGATATTGTGGTCTCCAAGTTGCTGTTTTGCTTGTAGATAAAGTAGCATTAAAACTGCAACATTTCATACTTCAATCCATTAACTGATATCAAAGTACCTCCACAGGTGAGAATCTCCCCACAAGCTCTGCTGAAGGATGAAAATGAGTAACACAAGACCTGACAGTGCAATACAGTAAATTTTTCCTACTGCTCAAAAGCAGTAACCGTAACAATTCACTAGAAATATTTATTCACCACCAAGCCACAAAACTCTCTCAATGTGGTTGTTTTCATATGAGCAAGTTCTCTACAAATGAGGCAGCACTTAACGATAACCACCCTGAAGTTTGCTATCATTAAGTTTACTACTGCCATGGAAATCAAGGTCAGGTGGGGGCATTGACGCATAGGCCATGTGAGTCAAGTTCTCAGGGAGCAATGAGGACCCAGGGAAGCCCCGGGGGGCACCATCTGTCACATCAGTGGTTCTCCGATCCAAACCAATCAAGACGTGCTGCATGGGGCTCAGAAGGCCTGGCCATCTTCCGCTTTGTGACCCCCCTAAGCCCAATCAAACAAGTTTTCACCGACTGTGCTGCGTTGGGCAAACATGGCAGCCTGACGTCGCTGGATGAAGATATCGAAATGTTTCATTCCAACTTCAGCTCAAATCCAAAGTGTTAACTGCCGTTCAAAAGTATTTATGAGTTAAAAAGAAAAAAAAGGAAAACTGAGAATATCTTGACTGTTGTTAAAAGGAATGCTGGGGCGGGAAGCAGCTCAGTGTCCATGTCCAGATGGTTGTGGGTTTGAATCCCACGGCCAGCAGAGTAATATCAGCGTTAGGCCGTTGAGCAAGACCCTTAACCCCAACTCCTTCAGGGCTACTACATGCTGGCTGAGCCTGTGCTCCGACCCCAAAAACAGTGTTTTGTGTGAAGAGCAAAATGGGGTTTGTACAACCCAAAGAATTACTACCTACATCGAACAAATAGCTAGTAAACTACATTGGGCAACTCAATGTTTCACTGTTCTACTGCTACAGAAAAATAAAACATTTTTACAAGACAAAAAGTAACTAAATAAACCTACTTCCACAAAACTCCTGCGATGATTAAACATGTGCTCCAGTGAGAATATACACTCTCTCTGACATTAAGGATACTAAACATCAGAGATGATGAAACAAACATCACAGGGTTCTCCACCTCAAATCGCTCTACTATAAATGCAGCCCATTATCCATAGCGAACATCAGAAAAACACAGATCTTACTGACATGTTAGCTGAGGCTGTGCTATAGAATGAATCAGGGCCAGGGCCACAGTAGATGGGAAGCCTACTGGAATATTCATCTGCGTGCTTTCAATTGCACAGCAAACAACAGGCTTTTATTAAAGACCTCTCTAAGAGCATAAGCCACTTTAACCTTATATAGGACAAATAAAGGACCCTTAAATCTTTGCCTAAGTCATGAAAAACCGAATAATACTGGACAGAACAATCTCATCTGATTTTTAATTAACAATGGCTATTGGAGGAGACTTTGTGCTGACCTCACAGATGTTCACACATCAATTGTACTGGACTCCTACAGGTACAACTATGGTTTTCACAGCCTTAGTATAAAAGCTTGGGGAACAGATTAACGTGGATGATTACACCCCGATTACTTCAGCTTTCAAGAACCTGCCCCAGGCTTTTATAGACTGGAAGGCGAAATGCCGCGCGTGACAATGGCAGGTGACACATCGAAGAGAAAGTTCATGGGACTCGTGCAAAATGTTATGTTTCATTACCGACTTCTGTGATGTCTTTAAGTCATCCCACCTTCAGTGTTTCATCACTGAGTCAACTTCAGAAGTTAAACTCTAGCATTACACCGGCAGGGAGGGGGGGGGGAGTGGACTGAGATGTTGGTTTTTAAAGCCCCCTCCTACCCACACTTATCTGCTGGGCTTGGCGTAGGCGCAGCCGTCCAAGTATGACATACTTAGCATAACGGGGAAAAAGCACAGAGCTGTGATAACAGTTCGCCTCCTCTTTGTTTACCAGGAGAGAAGGTTACGGTGGAGGAGCGAGGTCAAACTGAGCAGGAAGCTGCAGCCGCCGAATGCACGCAAATGTCAACACGGCACTCGACGAACGCTGGGAGGGGCAGTAGGAGGCATCAAAAGGTCAAAATCCCATACATTTGGGTTTTCTTCATGGCCAGGGAGGGGGGTAGCGTTCACGCGTAACGCGAGCGAATTTCTTGCGAGCTCATGAGTGGTTTCCGTCTCACTCACTGCTGGCAAAACGCATCACGCTACTGTCCACAGAGCAGAAAGGGGAACTCTGCCACATTTATAATCTCAGTTTACAGTTTTGCATCTAGACAGTAAACCTAAATCTGAGGGAGGCTGTTAAAGAGAACGCCTAGCTCGCGAATCGGACAGAATTAGCAAGAGCTAACAGCTTGCCAAACTCCCGAATGTCATCTTCATCATCGCAAGGGCTGCAGACTTTATCGACCCCTGTCTTGGCTCTATACAATTTTCTGGGCAATTCCTGAGTGGAATAGTGTTTGACCTCGGTGAAGAGACCGGGGGGCGGGAGAAGAAAAATCCCCTCATACCCTCAGTCAAACTAATCTGACCTCAGTGGAACACACCGCAAAAGCACAAGCTGCTTATTCAAAATCTCAATCCATTTTTCAGGTGGGACAGAGATACACAAATTTTTCAGACAATGCAGATCCCCAAACCTATTCTATGATCACGTTTAAAAAGGTCATTTGCTTGAATGATTTTAGGATTGTTTATGTTGCGCTTAAATATTCCAGCACATGCCCAACCTTTCTGATCTTTGCACATGCATGTCATCCACTAGTTCCCCGAAACCGCCTTGTACAATTAACAACAGTTTCAGAAATTGGGAACTTATAACCTGCATGAGCAAGAGCAAAACAAAACTGCTTTAGCCACCACACCACGCACTGCCCGCAACAAAGGCCCACGCAGCAACCGTGTGAACGAGATGACAGCATAGATGTCAGGCT